TWAAAAAAARAAAATGATGGCAAAACTACACTTCTTGTGAAATTACTGGGAATAGTACTTCGGAGTGGGGAACAGATTAGAGCAGATCCTTTTACCAAAAAGTTTTAGACTGCTCCATGCAACACAATCTAATATTCAATGTAGCTCACAAATCACTGGCCTGTATTGTTGTATTAGGTTGATGTATTTTATCTACAAAAAGCCTATATAGAGTATGGTACTGGAGATTTTCTTACAATAACTAAAATCTGTTTCCTAGCATATTGCCTCATTTGCTAAATGTATAAACAAATGAATGAATRGGTCAGAAGATTTAGATTATTACACGAATTCTATATAATATTTATATTTTTAGGTTTTTGTCCCTGGTCATATATAAATTCTTTTCTCTCATATTCTTATACTATCTAGTTTACATACTTACTTTAGAGCTTTTTGTTATTTGTATCATATTAGAATTATATTGTATTTTCATCTTCTAGTTGAGTACTATGTTTAGTCATTTTTGTATAAGCACAAAGACATTTCAATTAGCTAATGTATGTTTAATTGAATGAAACAGCAGAGCTGGGAATGCAGCTCAGTGGTAAGCATTTATGAGGCCCTGGATTTGATCCCCACCACAATTTTTTTTTCTTGTGGCTTATCTTTTTCAAACCACAGGAATACATGTAATCTACCAATTTAGAACCTAACTATAATCACAGCTACMATTAATTGAGCATTTACTATGTGCCAACACTGTTTTAAGAGTTTGTTTTTGTGTTAAACCATTGAATTTTCACATTCCTTCAGGGGATATATTATCATCCCTGCTTTATAAATGAGGAAATTGAGGCACAGAGTTTAAGTAACAAACCCAAGGCTATGTAGCAGAATATGAGTCACAGCTTGGACCCAGATGGTATTCTAACAACTTCACCCTTAACCATTATTCTAAACTTTGATGCATCTTAAAAACCATTGAGTGGCTAGAAAGAGCTCATTTTTTTTTTTTTTTTTTACAGGATGGCTTCTTTTCTCAAAAGAAATAATCAAAGARCAAATTTTATCATTCACTGATTTCTTGAACATTGTCATTTGAGTGTACTTACATTCCTGCAGGTGACAGTGTGATTATCTCTCATTGGCTCTGTTGGACTTGAATCATCAAAGGACGAAGACTGTAACCTTTAGAAAGTGACACATAAAACATTTGCCTTATTTACATATTTTAAGGAGAAATTTACATATTTTTCTCTATTTACATATTTTTGTCTCTGAATACATAAAATACAGCAAGGAACTTGAAGCTGAATGTCGTAAAGGTTTTCACAATCAGTTTGACTTGTTCGGTGCCAGAGTTACTTTTGATGCTGAAAGTCACTCCACAGTAAACAGAGAAGTCAAGCTCTGGGACAAAGCCCTTGAGTAAACCTGCCACCTAATAGTAAAGCAAAAAACAAAAAACAAAAGGAGAGCAGTGTAAATCAGTTACTTGTGTCAAAAATCAGTCCTCACAGCTGTGCCTGGTGGTGCATGCCTGTATTCCCAGCAGCTTGGGAGGCTGAGGCAGGAGGATCTCCAGTTTAACGCCAGCCTCAGCAACTTAGACCCTAAGCAACTCAGTGATAAAATATTTTTAAAAAGGGCTGGGGATGTGGCTTAGTGATTAAGCATCCCTGGGTTCAATCCCTAGTACAAAAAAAAAAAAAATCAGTCCTCATGAAGACTTTACGCCAAAACAGAAACTCAAAGATTTATTAWCATTCTATAATCATTTTCAAGTGAGAAATATAATTTTTACCCCCAAAAATCCCCAGGCACAGAATCAATGAAACAYAGCACAGAGAAGAGAATGGCAAAAACATAACTTTACGTCTTCATGTATTCCTAAGAAAGTTGGTAAGAAATCACAGAGGAAGAAACTAAAACAGAAATAAAATGCCTTAGGTCACAAAACCATGATAAGGAAAGATTGGGAACGCATCTAGGGGGTTTTCCATAGGACAGTCCATGTATACAGCTCAGCCAGCTTTTCATTTTGTGGGTTCATGCCCCCCATCTCCACCAGGTTTATTAAAGTATAACTGGTGTACAAAATGTTTGATATAGGTATACATTGGAAAATGATTAACATATTCACTTCATACCTATTTTGTGGTGAGAACACTTAACATCCACTCACCTCGCAGTTTTCAAATACATCTAGTACATTACTATTAACCACATAGTCACAATTTTGCACAACAGATCTCCAAAACTTATTTACCCTCTTATTGAAACTTTGTACCCATTGACCAACATCTCCCTAACCCCCATCCCTCATACACCAATCTACTTCTATGAGTTTTATTTAGATTCCAGATATAAGTGAGATCATGCAGCACGGGTCCTTCTGTGCCTGGGTATTTCACTTAAAATAACATCTGTCCTTCATGTTGTTGCAACCGACAGGGTTATATTCCTTTGTATAACTGTATAGTATTCCACAGTTCYTTTCATTCACTGATGGACACTTAGGATGATTTTTTTGTTATTGTGAATAATCCTGTGGGGGTACAGATACTGCTTTCATTTCCTTCAGATATATCTGGGATTGCTGGATCATATGGAAGTTCTATTTTTAATTTGATGAGGAACCTCCATACTATTTTCAATAATGGCTGCATTTAGATTCCCACCAACAGTGTGCAAGAGCTCCTCTTTCTCCATATCCTTGCCAACATTTGCTGACTTTCATCTTTCTTATATAGACATTCTAACTGGAGTGAGGTRATATCATTGTGGTTTTGGTTTATAGTTCTCTGATGATGGTGAGATTGAGCATTTTTTCTTATATATTGGTCATCTGTATGTCCTTTGAGCATTATCTATATCCTTGCTTGTTTTTTGAGTTCTTTTCTTACTGTGGAGAGGTTTGAGTTCCTTGTCCGTTTTAATATTMCTTCAATATATTGTCAGATCTTGGATTTGTAAATATTTTCTCCCATTCCTTACCCKGTGGTTTCCTTTCTCACAGAAGTTTTTAGTTTGATAAAATCCTATTTGTCTATTTTTGYTTTTGGTTGCTTGTGCTTTGGGGATCCTATTCAAAAACCACTGCCCAGACCAATGTCATGGAGCCTCTCTTCTGCTTACTCTTAGTAGTTTTATAGTTTCATGTGTTTTARTCTATTTTGATTTGATTTGGTGTGAGACAAGAGCCTAATCTCATTTTTCTGCAGGTGGGTATCAGTTTTTCAACATCATTTATTAAATATACTGTCATTTATTGAGTGTTGGCAACTTGATCAAAAAACAATTGATCATAAATAAGTGGACTTACTTCTGGGTCCCTGGTTCTGATCCATTTCTCTGAGCCTTTTTTCATGCCAGTAACATGCTTTTTTGATTACTCAAGCTTTATAGTTGATTTTTAAATCAAGTGGTATGATGTATCACATTCTGTTGTTCTTTTTGCTCAAGATAGCTTTGGTGGTTCTGTATGAATTTTAGATTTTTTTTTTTACTTCTGTGAAAAATGCCATTGAAATTTTGATAGGGATAACACTAGATCTGTGTATTTCTTTGGGAAATATGGGCATTTTAATAATAATTGTCTTAAACCATGAACATCCACTCATCCAGGTTTCCATTTATTGGTATCATCAATTTCTTTCACCAGCATTTCACAGTTTTCCGTGTGCACACCTTTCATGTCCTTGGTTAAACTGCTCCTAAGGTTTTTTGTTTTTGTTAGATATTGTGAATAGAATTTATTGATTTTAATGATTTCTTTTTGGATAGCTCATTGTAAATATATAGAAACACTGCTAATTTTGTATCCTGAAACTGAATTTGTTTATTCTAAAGAAAATTTTGGTGGAGTCTTCAGGGTTCTCTCCATATAAGATCTTGTCACTTGCAAAAAAGACAGTTTTACTTCTTTGTTTCCCACTTGGATGCCTTTCACATCTTTTACTTACCTAACTGCTCTGGATCAGACTTAAGCACTATATGGATTGAAGTGGTAAGAGTGGTAGGCATTTCTATCTTGTTCCCAATCTTAGAGGAAAAGTTTTCAGATATTCACCATTCAGCAGTCTATGGGCTTCTCACATATGGATTCTATTAAGTTTAGTTCCATTCCTTCTATAGTTTGAGTATTTTTATCATGAGATATTGAATTCTATCAAATGCTTTTCCCACATCTATTGAGATGATCTTATGATTTTTATCTTTCACTGTTAATGTGGTATATCACATTTATGGACTTTGCATGTGTTAAATGATCCTTGCTTCTCAGGGATCAATCTCATTCAATCATGGGGTATGACCCATTTAATATGCTGTTGAATTCAGTAKGCTAGTATATTTTGAGGATTTTTGCATCTATGTTCATGAGTGATATTGTCCTTTAATTTTTTGTTTCTGTGTGTAGTGTTGGGGATTGAATCAAGGGTTTCATACATATGAAGCAAGTGTTCTACCACTGAGTTATATCCTGGCCCCAGTTTTCTTTTCTTGTGGTATTCTTATCTTGCTTTGGTATCAGGGTAATGCTAATCTCATAAAACAAGTTTGGAAGTGTTTCCTCCTCTTAATTTTTTGGAAGAATTTCAGAAGGATTGGTATTAATATTGTTTAAGTGTCAGGTAAAAATTCAATAGTAAATCCATCAGGTCCTGAGTTTGTATTACTGATTTAATCTCCTTATCTTTATTGGTCAGTTCAGATTTTCTATTTCTTCTTGATTAGTCTTGGTGGATAGTATGTTTCAGGGAACTTAATCCAATTCTTCTAGGTTATCCAATTTGTTGGTATATAATTGTTCAAAGCAGTATTTTATTGTCCTTTGTATTCCTTAGGTATCAGTATTAATATCATTTATAACTTTTAGTTTATTTTTTAGTGTATATATTTGAACTGTACAATGTTTTTGATATACACATTGAAAGGATTACTGCAGTCAAATTTACATATTCAYCATGTTCCAGTTGTGTATGTGTTCAGCACCAAAAATCCTAAGCAAATTTTTAGGATATCATATTAACTCGTGTTCTCATGTTGTACATTAGCTCTCTAGATTTATTCACATACAGAAATGCAAATATATATACTTTGACCTACTTTCCCCCATTTCCTTCCCCTCCCTGCCTCTGGTAACTACCACTCTACTCTCTACTTGCTGTTTCTATTTATTCCACCTTTTTTTTCTTTTGATTCTGCATGTAAATGAGAACACATTATATTTCTCATTCTGTGTATGGATTATGTCACTTGGCATAATGCCCTCCAGGTTCATCCATGTTGTCATTGTTCATAATTTGAGACTTCTTTTTGTTCTTGGTCTAGATAAAGATATTTCAGTTTTATCTTTTCAAAACCCCAACTTTTAGTTTCATTTGATTTCTATTTTTCAAGTGTCCATTTATTTCTGCTCCAATAATTTCCTTCTGCTAACTTTGGGCTTAGTTTGCTCTGCTTTTTCTAGTTCCTAGAGGTATAAAGCTAGGTTATTTGATATATTCTTTTTTCCCCCTTAATATGTATTTTCCACTAAATATTTCCCCTAAGAATTGCTTTTACTGCATCCCATGTATTTTGATATGCTGTATTTAAACTTTCAATTGTCTCCAGAATTTTTTTCTTTGATTTATTAGTTGTTTAGTAATACACTRTCTAATTTCTACTTTTGTTAATTTAAAAATTTTCCTCTGATTTCAAGTTTCATACCACTGTGTTCAGAAAATACATTTGATATATGATTTATTTCAGTCTTCTTAAAATTTCTAAGACTTGTTTTGGGGCCTACCATATAACTCAAGTGTTCTTGAAAACAATGTAGTCTGCAGCAGTTGGATGGGATAATCTCTATATGTCTGTTTGGTCAATTTGGTGAACAGTGGTGTTGTTCATGTGCCCTGTGTCTTCACTATTTGTCTGGATGCCTCTATCCATTGCTGAAACTATGGTACCTACTATTAATGCAATTTATCTCTTTAATTTCATCAATATTTGCTTTACCTATTTAAGTGCTCTGATGGTGGGTGAATACATATTTATAATTGTTATATCTTCTTGATCTAGTGACTTATTTATATAATGACTTTCTTTGTCTCTAGTCACAGTGTTAGACTTAAGGTCTATCTTGTCTGATGTGAGTATAGCCACCCCTGCTCTCTTGGTTACCACTGGCATGAAAAAAT